CTTTTTCAAGATTGTTTTGGCTAGTCAAGGTCCCTTGAGATTCCATATGAAATTTAGGGTTTTTTCTTTTTTTTTTCTGCAAAAAATAAAATATCACTGGAATTTTGAGGGAGGTTGTAGTATATCTATAGATTGATTGCTTGGGTGGTATTGTCATTTTAACAGTATTGCTTCCAATCCATGAACATGGTATATCTTTCTATTTATTTGTCTTCTCTAATTTCTTTCAGGAATGTCATATAGTCTTCAGTATACAAGTTTTTGCCTCCTTGATTAAGTAATTCTTTTTGATTCTATTGCAAATGGAATTATTTTCTTTTATATGTACATAACTTTTTGTAAGTAAGGGATTAAAAGCTGATATTTATTATTTTTGATGTTTTATTATTTTTTTATTTCATGAACACAATTCTAAATGAAATGTATATCTCTCCTTGTCTTGTAATTAACTGTGAATGTGGCTCTTTGATCTCTATAGACACTGTAAATTCCCAGACAAAAAAGGCTAGGACTTATTGGATATCCCAGGAAAGGCACTTCTGTTTGCTTTTCTGTGCTGCTGCAGTTGAAGGAAGCTACACCATGCATGAGACAAGGATTTTTATTATTATTGTTAATATTTTAAATCTACACAAGTTTGCTACTGTGACTTCTGCAGTTATCTTCTTACAACTATACATAAATTCATAACTTTTTAATGTCAGATTTTATGCTTGAAGTGACTATGCAATTCCTAATCAAGATTTTTTTTAATGATGATCTTATAAAATCCTTGAATAGTCTCTAGTGGTCAGAAACTGTATCACCCAATAGGTATTAAAATTTTTTGGACTATTTTTTACAATCATTCAAATTTCTAAGAGTTAAAATTTAACAGTGCATCCTTTTCTTTCATGACAAATATGTTAAAATTTCTAAGGATAAACAAATAGGATTAGAAAATCAATAAAATATTTTATATCATGTTTCAAAATAATGATGAAACTCTTATTGCATTATATACATACACTTTTCAAGCAATGACCTTGTGACTGGCTTGGATACTACTACAAGGATCCATCAGTTGCCAGCAGACAGAAATATGTGATGTATGTGAATGTAGTGATTTGAGGCCATTATCTGTAGCCTTCCAGAATCTCCCCTCCCCCCCCCTTTCCTCCAAGCTTTCAGCACCTTAAGCTGTGTACTGTCTTTTTGGACACCTCAGATGGAAACTCCTCCAGCAGTTTCATGGGGCAGTGGCATGTTCTGCAGCTAGCCAATAAATACAAATCCAGAGGCTTGAGCAACTCCCTGGCTATGCTCAGTGTCTGACAGAGGAGCAGTGGGTGTGGGATGAGGCTCATAAATCACCATCTCTAGGGGAGGGAATTGGATCTGAGGAGTCCCAAACAAGGTTGCTCATAACCAGAGATCACCATCCTGGTAGCTCCAGCCATCTGTGCTGTGCCTAGTTGCCTTGAGGGCTGAAGAGGTCCACTTTTTCTTGGGCCATTGAATTCCACTGTCTGCATACCACTATGTGTTATTGTCCTCTTGGTGGGAAGCTCTGGTCTAGTGATTGGTTTGTTTAGGAAGGAGAAAAGGAAGAATTGGAAATATATTTAGGAAGAAGTAAAAATAGGTGTAATTTTAGAAATATGATCTATCCCATGCCTTGATTGATGATAGCATTCCCGATCTAAAATGTGACAGTGTAGGATTCTACATTGGAAATTAGATGAATGACTTTGGTTTAGCATGAAAGGAAGTTGGAAGCTTGGATGGTTTTTCTACTTTTGCCATTAGCTAACTGGGACCATCTTTGCTTGTTTTGCTTTCATAGAATTTGAAATTATTTGAAGTGCATTTCCAGTGCCATTTCCCCCACTTGCAGATTCCTCCTACCAGATAATCTTTCCCTCTTTTGGGAGAAAATGGTTTATATTGTATTTTTCTTATGGCATTCCTTATATTCTTCCTTGGACTATGTTTTTTGTCTCAATTTATCTTATTTCCTCTTTCCTGTTTATAAGGTCTTTTATGCATATCTTTCTTGTTTTACAGTTGGGAAGTAATCACAGTTTATCTCGTTTGAAGGTGCAGAAAAAATTTTTACGGAAAAAAACTTACCTGTCATAATTAGCAAACACAGATAAACTATTCTGCTTAATCCTCTTTCAGGAAGAAATTTGAGAAGTTTGCACTAAAAGTGGAAAAGTTGACTTCACTTTCACAGATGGCACACATGTAATACATGAGAACATGGGTTTCCAGAGTGCGTTCCATTCTGAAGAAATGTTTTTGCCCTCCACTGCGCCACTGAGCAGAGAATCTGGATTGCAAGTTGTACAGTCAGGTTCATGGGATGGCGTAAAGGAGGAATTGATTGCAACTCAGTTTCTGATTGTATCGTTAACCATCACCAGTTTATTGGTTATTTGAAATATATTAAACCCAAATATGGAGACTTAGTTCATTTTAATACAACCCTGTGACTGGATGGTGGAAACTTACTGAGAGGAACTGAGCTGCTGCCCTTTTAAAAAAAATTTTTTTAAAAATTGATTTCAGAGAGGGTAAGAGGGGGAGAGATAGAAACATCAATGATGAGAGAGTCATTGATTGGCTGCCTCCTGCACGCCGCCTGCTGGGGATGGAGCCAGAAACTTGGGCATGTGCCCTGACTGGGAATCGAACCATGACCTCCTAGATCATAGGTCGATGCTTAACCACTGAGCTACACTGGCTGGGTTGAGCTGCTGCTTTAAAGGCATTAAAATATTTTTTAAAATTGAAGGGTTTGAGAATAAAGGCTTCATTAAATCCTCATGCTTCATAAGACCGTTGGTTACTAATGTACACAATACCCAAACACATTGAACTCGTAGGAACTGCAGTGGGAAAATATGCTCATTTATTTAGCGAAGTGCAGGCCCTCCCGCTAAAGTGCGACAAGAGGATTGAGGGGATGGCACTTGTAGACTATGCTTATCTTCAGTGCGATCTGCCCTGATACCAGCAGAAGCACTCATGTTGAATATTGGTGGGAATTAAGATGCAATTTCAGAAAAGAAATGCAGGTTTTGATGTATTTGAATATCACTTAGAAGATTCTGGGGTTGTGAGTGCAAACCTGAGGATGGGACCTAATGCCAAATAAACGCTCTAGCAGTGTGGTTCCGTTGCAGGGGGACCCCAAGGGACTGGAAGCAAACTGCTCCCCAAGGCGTTAGTTAGGGTGGTGCCAAGTAGCACTTGAGGTTGTGGACTGGTGCCACCTGTCCATCAAATTTAATTTTTTAAATGGGCTTGTATTATGTATATTTTATTTCATTTTCTAGTAATTCATTTTTAACTATTTTACAAAAGTTATCTGAACTCGATTAGGGACAAAACAAAACAGGTATTTCATCACCGATAGTGTGGAAAGGGTTGAGTTAGAGTCTCTTAGAAGTGTGAGTCATCTGGAAATAAATATATGAATCTGAGGATTACCTAGATATTTTTGGCAATGTAGTTGGCCAAATTCTAGGCAGTAATAAGGCCTACCTGATTTTAAATACACATTCTGTTTTATAGATAAAGAATTTAAATGTCTATTTTTAGAAAACTACCAAAGGACTGTACCCTGCTATGTTACAAATGAAAATCCTCTTCCCATCTGCAGGTTTGTAATCACAAGCCCAGGAGTGCAAACTTGGGCCACCCTTATTGTGGCACAATGCTTTCTACCTAAGAGAGATCCAAAAATATTTATTGAATTCAATTGATTTCTCCTAAGAGTTCACAGAAAGTACGTAGTTCACTAAATAAAGTCCAGAAGATTAAGGTAACTTGGGAAGGTAAAATTGGGAAGGTTATTCACATCATAGCTGCCACCAAATGCTTCCTGCTCTGTCCTGCTTTATCACATCTTTGCCAACCAGAACTTTGAGAATATATTACTAAGGTGCCATTACGAAGGTGGTAGATTTATGAGATCCTAAATTTGTTGTTATTTTAATCAGTTCAGATTTCTGGTGAGCTCCTTGGTATAAATCCTGTGATTGTAACTCCGTCTTGATACTACAATTACCTAAAGAAATTACCCTGGAGATCTGTTTTTTAAGTAGGTGTTAATATACTGTAGCATCTTTCTTATACTTTTACACTGTACTTCAACACATTTTTTAAAAATTGGCCAGTATAAAAAGGAAATAATCAGCCATATGGAAATAATAGCATTGTGTCATATTGTCAACTTTCATGTTAGATTTGTGAAATTGAAATATAATTATGAATAACAATAAATGCATGTACTATACAACAGAGGATACCATGTTTTGCTCTTGACACAATGGAAACAATTACTAATAAAATAAGGTGTTTTATTTGGAAGAGAGAATTTGCTCTTGGCAGTGGCTTTCCAGTTTTGCCAACTTTAAAAGTGACTACTTTGGGGGATGAAATAGTTATGGAAAAAATGTATACAATCTTTATTCTTTGAACACATACATTGCCAGAGTCTCTTCATGCATAAGTTAAACAGGACCCAGATTACTGAAGCTGCATCTCTTTCTGAGAAGGAGGCAGTAGAATGTTTTCTTCACTGAGCTTTTCACTTTCACTAGGCAATTTCATGTTAACCCAATCACTGGTTCTGTCTTCATTGCTCTGCCTTTATTTTTATTAAATATACATTTTAATAAGTGTGTGGGGAAATGGCCATATGTAGTATTTTGTATATGCTGATGTTTCATTTAAGTGTGCTACATTTGCACATGTTCTGTTTTCCAGCTAAGCACAATGGCAGGTCTTTTAAGGGTATGCCCCACTCTGTTTTCCAGTGTCTTCCTTCAGGGGTTGTAGCATTACGTTCTGCTTATAGTGAGGACTCTGTGTTGACCGACTGAAAAAGATGTGAAGATCTACATAGAATCTGTTGATAGTAATATTAGAGAATAATATTGGCATTTTTAAAAAATCTTAGTATAAGCCTAATGAAAGCGATAATATTGTGCTTTTGTTTTGTTTTGCAGGAAGATTCTTTGGCAACAGATAATTTCCTTGTGGACTACTTTAATGAATTTCTAAGCCTTCCAGTGAGTGTATTATTATGTTCTATTGACTATATTATCAACACAAAATATTGTAATCACTGGGTTATCTTGTAAGACAGATTTATCAGGGGCAATATTTTTTAAAAATATAGCCCTGGCTGGAGTGGCTCAGTTGATTGGAGTGTCCTACTGTGCACAGAAAGGTTGTGGGCGAAATTTCTGATCAGGGCACATATGGAGGTTGTGGGTTCCACCCCC